CAAAGACTAAAGAGGAGAGCAGAATTCATGAAACACTTCTGGCTCCACACAGCATCAAAAGCTACGTTTCACAAAATCGAAGGAATGGGGCATAGCTCTGTAACTTCAGGCTCGTTGTCCGATATTGAATCACCGATCGGTAGAAAATTTGTAAAAAACACCCTGCCGTCTTAGAAGATCCGTGCACTACCGCTCATAGCTGGATGTTAGACTCGGCGATTATGCAATCGCGACAGCGTTGTGGCCGTTTTGGGCGTGTCGTTATTGATCCGTTTGGGAGCGCTATCGCGATTGCACAATCGCTGAGTTTGACATCCACCATGTGAGGTTATTATTGAAATGCTTCTAAAGTGCCAGGTTTTCAAAAAAAACTTTAAGTTGTTAAGAACCGGTAACATGTCTCTTGCTCGATGTGAGTTCGTTTCCACTGAAGAGTCACACGGGTTTTTCCCCCTTTTCTTTTACTATTGGTGATGTGAGTTCGTTTCTCCTGGAGAGAGGGTTTTATTTTCTGGATTGTCGAACGGTTTTTCCCCATTTTTTACAACTGACATTGAATTTTACATCTCCACTTTCAAGAGAAATAGAATATCAGTTCGATCCCGGACTTTGTCTTCGAAAACACAAGCATCATCCTCACTTACATCATCGTATGGTAACTCGTTTGGGTCTTATTCGAATAGGGAGGAAGCATTAGGTGCGATGGTTCGTGCAACTTACAACTTGCACCTCCTGAACCTCCAAGAAGTTCGTTTTCTTCGCTACTGCTGTAAGCTACACGAACTATTGCGCAAGACCCCCAAACTCCATTGCTGAGATAGACCCGCCCAGAAATTCTTCGAAACTTCTTATATTTCCTTTTCCTTGAACAAATAAGAATATTTGCATCCCCTAAAACAGACCGAACATTCTCACCTGCTATCATAATCATTCCTGGTGTCAGCTTGGACGCTTCAGTGATATGCGGCTCTGACATGCCTATTGATAACTCGCTCAGCTGACTTGTTGGACAAACCACCGACTCCTGAAACTGTCACTCATTTTAGATAGAAAACATCTCGAAAACTGCTGAGCAAAAACAAAGAGAACTAAAGATTGCAAAAAGTTCTATTCCTACAGCATAATGGCCTATCGATTTTTGTCCGTCTATCGTTAATTTCAACAAAAATATGGGCAAGAAAATCACACGACACTGTATAAAAACCCGACTGCATCTAGAAGTCCAACCGAACTAGACCACCGCAGAAAAAAAAAGATTTTGCATGTGACTCAACACTGTCTGCACTAATTTGAGACACAACAACACCACAAAGAACGACCCCAGTTTTAGCAAAAATTAAGAAGTTTTCAGTCACGTATTTTCAGTAATTTCTGATTACACAGCTCACGTACTTTCCAAGAGATAAACAAACATACATTTTTCTCTTCATTCTTGTTTGCCAATGAGTTGATGAGCGTTGGAGCTGTTACGAATGGATTTCCATAGGATGTCACAGGTGATGAATAAGTGAGTGATGCGGTTGGGAGACTAGACAATGAAGAGGCAAGAAGTGATGATGATGGCGGCTCGTATTGTGGATATGCACACATCGGCATGTAGCTTGTTGGAAGGCCCAAGAGTCCTTGTGCTAACAGATCTGCAGCCGGATCACGATTCGTCAACTGGTGCTCTGAAATACGTAAGAGTACACATATTTCTGGTCTCTTCCGGATAACAGTCTGGAATCCAACCCTTCCCATTTTCATTTTATGAAACAATTTGAAAAGAGGTGAAGGACGAAGCAACCGGCGCTGACAAACCCCTTTTTAGGATGCGTCATGCATTCGTCTTCAATTCAGGATCGCATTGGCCTGCTGAATACACGTCCTCCCATACACTATCTTGGGGTGGGGGAGGAGGAGGGGGGGAGGAAGAGAGCAATTCGATATAAGTTTAATGTTTTCATAATTTTAGACTACTCTGCCCTTAAATGACACCGGAGTGAGAGAGGGCTTGGATCGCCCGGAATTCGATCTCAGAACGCACATGCGGTAATAGCGCGGCTAATCACTACACCACTTCGGTCCATGAGTTAAAGCTGGTTAGGCAACATATGTAGTATGTCGCTCCTTTACTAATATATAAAGTAGTTGAGGGGGGGGCTTCTCTCTTACAGTTGTCGCCCACTGAAAACTAGGTTCCCTTCTTTCTCGAAATCGGCTTGGCGAGAGCAAGGAAGCAAAGATCTCATTTTGAAAAATTCAGGTGAAACCTAATAGGCTCTAATTTCACCCAGCAATTTCGTCTTCATTTTTCCACCAAAGGAATGTAATAGCAAAAGGTTCGCAAATTTCCTGTTGTTTTATGCACGTTCCTCGTACTCGTCACGTCTACATTCTTACTTCGGCCAAGCCCCTAACGCCCTAGAAAAGCGATTTTCGGGCGTCTACTACAAAAATCTCTTTCTCAGGGGGAATTTGAATGATCTACATGGTGCCTCATAATTCTAAGGATTTGCTTTCTATTCTCGTTAAATCGGATGACTAACTCAACAGCTTACAATCAAAGCTAAACACTGCCCCATTTAGAGATTCGCAATGGAATTTCCTTTTTGAAACAGAACACGTACTGGCCGCTTAATCTCACTCACTTACAGCTGCCTAGCAACTATGCTTGATTAATATTTGAGCAAAAACAGCACCTACTCCGCTGACTCACGCGGAAGTCATTAAGTCTCACTGATTAGGCTCATTGAGTCACTAGAGCGATTAATGGTTGCTCACTCAGAAACGGCTGCGATTGAAGATCGCTTAGACGAGTATTCCTATTATCCCTAACGACAAAAGCAAAGATCAGCTTCCGAAAGTAAGTAGTACGAAGCTAAAAAGAAACTCACTTAATAGAATATCAAGAAGATTCGGGGCCTGTGCGGGATTGTTGTACTGTGAGAACGAGTGATTGTTGTCATCAACCGGTGAACCCCCTGTGCCCCCTGTGACGGTTCTGCCAGTGATCTCTTAGGTGATGTGCGTAACTCTGTCTCCTGAAAGTAACCCTTCATCTGAATAGTAAACTGTAACGGTTACAGTCAATACGACTACTCACTTCGCTGAAGCTGCGCTTAACAGCAAACGATCCAGCAGTTCCATTTACAGGGGGTGTGGTCGGATTTGCAGAGCCCTTCGACGAATTGTCATCACCCGACAGATTTTTTTCGCGATTTCTCTCCATTGGAATGGGCAACGCGTCAGATTCTAGAAAGTACCGCATCATTGGGAGCGAAAAACTCAGATAAGTACGGTTGAAACCAAAATAAAATCGGAAATGCTTACCATCAACATATTTCGGGAACACCCTGAGACGAGTATTGCCGTTTTTGAAATGGACTGGTTTCAGTACAAGACCTCCTTCAAGAGTCCTGGTGCGGTATCTTCGAATAATGGCGTTCGCTCTCATTGACATAACATTGGAACACTGAAATACTAACAAACATGAGCCATTTTCTAAACAGCGGTTTATGTATACTTTTTTGACGTTCAAAAGGTGATATCCCTATTAATTTAATCGAAAACACTTCATTTAATTCGAGGCTCTATGCTACCTCTATTTTGGTGCCTATAACCAAACACTGGCATTTGTATTAC